CATTCGAGAAACAAAAAAGGATATAATGGCACAGTAATTAGAATATATGGTTTGACTGGAGACTAGCCAAGTGCATGTTTAACTTCCCTGGCTGTTCAAACCCTGTAGGTGCCCGTGCCCTGAGAGGTTATGTGTATTTGTGGTCACTGCGACATGTTTCTCAGAACGTCCTCGCAGGGCTGTCTGCATCCTATCTCTCAGACTGCACCACACTCAAAAAAAGAGCAGGAATGGGTCTGATCCCTCCTTTCTAATCACTCCCTGGACCAGATTTTTCAAGTCCCTCCACCCAAGGTTGTTAGGTAGCTGCTAAGGCTCACTGGGTCCTTCTACATTCTGGGTGCTCCTTCAAGGATTGTCCCTGGCCTGGAAGGGATGTCTGACCCTGATAGTATTCACCTGGGATATAGGAAGGTTGAAAACCAGTATCTTTGATTTTTCCTGAAACCCATGTCTCAAAAAAAGTATCAGCTCTTGAAGAAGGAGAGCTGCAATGACCTAGCTTAAATGATACGACTACTAGCATTATTGCAAGTCAGGTTGAAGCAGACAGTTGAGGAAAGAACTGGAAAAAAAAAAAAAAAGAGTTATTCATGTGTTGTTTTTGTTTGGCTTGCTTCTAGTTCTTGTCAAAACTTTCCTGTCAAACAGCCCTACAGGAGTTTTCAGTACTTGATAAGTTGCTATGAACAATGTTGAAACAACTCGGCGCAATGTGAGAGTGACACTAGTTATTATTTGAATTTACCGTGACTTCCATGTGGGTGAGCTAAGGAACCCAGGGGGAGTTCATCTGGATTTACTGTTTAAAAACTCTGCTACTGATAACATCCTAAGATCATCTTCACTTTTTTCTCTTCTGCCTCAACTTCTCAATTCCCAGGTTTTTATGGGTTTTTCCCCCCTCCTTTTTTTTAAAAGTTAAAAAAATCCATAAAGTGGAGGCCAGTTACAGACCAACTTTATCAGAGATTTCATTTTATTCTGCTTTAGCATTTTTCTGTAAAAATGCATACTTGGAAGATGTTGGTAAAAGCACCTAACAAAAAAATCCTCTGAATTATTTATAAAAGCAGTATGTCTCCATGTGCTGCTGAGAGAAACTAGGTATCCCCCTGATGAATTAGTGATCACTTATTATTTAAAAGGAAGGATTTAACCAACACACAACTTCTCAAAATGGAATGTCCACAAAATGACTTATAACTAGATGCTATAACCTGCCTGTTAGTTCAGCTCTTAAAGTAGCACAGAAATGTCTTGAAGATAGCAAGATTCCTAATTTAGAAAAGTGGGAAAACATTTTTCTTCAGTACCATTGCTACATTAGGCAGATGAAACATTGATCTATAGAAATGAAATGTCCAGATGTTTTACAGCTTCAGACAAATTAATGAGAAATTTTCTGTGTGGCATGAATAGTCCAGTGCAATATAACATATATGCAAGTTTTCAGTGCTCCTGCACTTCTGAAAGAGGTGGACCACTTTCTCTGCTTTAAAAAGACAATTCTGCTTTATATATAAATTGTGAGAAACAAGACATGGTCCTTCACACCTAGAATACTCAGTTTTAGAATTTTTGATTGCTGCAGGCATCTGTGTTTCAGCTGAAAGGGAGCCATAAAAAGCACATTTCATGTAGAATACTGAATATCTTTCATGACTGTGGGTATTTCAACATTCTCACTTAAAAACACTTTATGGTCAGCCTTGTAATCCTGAATATTTTGAAATAATCACACAGCTCCTATTTTTGTTTGCACCATGCTGAAACTTCTTAAGATAGGTTAGTCAGAGCTGACATCTTAGACTACAGAAGCCCATTATTATTCTTATGTTTCCAACCATATAGCCACTTCTGCCTTGACTGTTTCTTATTAAGCATACTAAGAGTATGTTAAATAAAAAACCACAGAATTAGTATATTTATGTATTTATACAGATTTAACCCTCTTAAATGATTCACAGAAAATAAACAGTTTTGAATTTTCTTCTGCTTGTATTTCTCTGTAGAACACCATTGCACCCACACACCTGCACATTCTTGTGCAGTCTGAAGTTATAATTTCATGTTCTCCAAAAGATCATGGGAAGGTTACATTTTTAAAGAAAGCAAGAACATATTTCTTCTGAAACACAACCATTACTATTAATTTATGGAAGTTAAAATTACTCACTTTTAATTAAAAAAAAAACAAAACAAAACCACAAAACCAAACCCACACACTTCTTCCTTGTTAAAAAAATGTGCCCAGCCTTGTAAGATCCACAAACTTATCCAAACTGTTTACAAAAGTCAGTTAAATCAGCATGGGACTCTAATGAAGTTCAAAATACAAGCAGACACAAGACTTTCTGAAAATAAAAGTTGGGGTTGGATGTAACTAGCATTTCGAAAAAGACGGGAAAAAACCAACCAACAAATTAAAACAACAGCATAAAAAAACCCAAACCACAACAAAAAGAAGAAAGCCCTGGACAAGCACAGATGAGCTTACCTTTAAAGAGTGAGAGGAACAAGGATGACCAGAGATACAGTGCAGAATAAACAAATGCCAAACACTTTTCTGTGAGCATTGTCAAAATAAGCTGGCTCTCCTTTCTGAGCAGAGGGTGAAAGAGGACGAAGTCTTGAAGACAGCCTGCAATGACTGATGGATTTGGTAATTACGGTAATAAGGCATCAAACCAGCTTCCCACCAAGGGAGAAAAGTGCATTTACTCATGTGCTTCTCCAGTCCCCAGGAGACAAATCAGCTCCGTGCTTGGTCAGTAAATCCAAACACAAAGGAACAGGTTACATTCCTTTGGACTCACGTTGCTCGACACACTGAGCTTTTCCCTGGTCAGGAGCAAATGCAAGTGATTCTCGCACACAGCTGTCTGTGTACTGCAAGAAGGGGGAGTGTGCTGCCTCGGAGATGTTTTCCACATCTCCACATATTGTACCTAACTCGAGACAGAACGGCTGCAGTGTTTCCAGTGCTTGCACTCGAGTGCCTCTAGAGCTGTTTCCCGGCAAAATAAATGTGTGCGTGCCCCCCTCTGCTCTCTCCCAGCTGCCAGGGCAACTTACAGCAAGCACCTGTGGTACACACCTGCCTTTTCTCCCAGCAGAGGTGGCAGGGGAGATTCAATAATGCAAAAGTTTGGAAAGATGAAAATAACCAATCTCCTGTCCTTTCTGATGCACCCCTTCCTCTAATCACTTCCACCAGACGCAGGGAGGTGCTCTGAGCGCCCTCTTCCCCAGCTGCCCACCGTGGGATTTTGCAGACCCTGACTCCTTTTCCTCCCCACGATTTTATTCACCAGCCAAAGAAAGACAAGGTGAGGCAAAGTCTTGAGTGAACTATACTCATCATTTGGGCCTTCCTTTTCTCATTTGCCTGTTCTGAACACTCACCCACTTCTCTTTCACCACCAACTGCACTTCCCAGTGCTGAATTCCTTGGGACTCCTGCCTTGGCACAATACAACCCTGGGCTGACGCAGAGAGCAGCAGCAAGTCGTGACTCCGGGCAGGAGGAGGGATTTGGGCACTGCCGTAGTGAGGCTGCAGTGGGCAGTGCAGGCTGGTAGGAGAGCAGAGCCTTGGGGTGTGGGGTACAGGGTGCGCTGCGGAGGACTTGAGAGGCTGAGCACTGGCACTGGCTGACCGTGGAGTCCCTCTGGCTGCAAACATCTGCCCTAGGATCAACTGCAAAAACGCAAACCTCTAATGCTAAGGGAACACGTGAGAAATCAGTGGTCAAAGCACCAGGAAAGGGGAGGAAAACAGTACAAGTGGAGAGAGCAACACCACCAGTGTTAGTTGTTAATACTCAAACGTCTTCTGCAGTTTTCATGCTTTCATTTTCTTTTAATAAATGTTATGTAGATTTAGAAGGCTGGGACCACAAGGGGCTAGTGTATACTCCAGCTGCAGCCCGGACTAATTTAGCTGGATCCTCCTGATGCACTCTCACCCTGTCACTGGATGGTAGGCTGTCTTCCTGGGGGTATGGGAAGGGTCCTTAGAGCTGCTGGCCCTCCCTTTGCAGGCTTGGTAGCATGCCCCAGGTGAGCTTTCATTGGCCAGCTGCACATGGAACACCCAGGCACAGCCTCCTCAGGGTTCTCCCAGGCCCCTTCTTGCTCCCCATGGGTGGGAAGAGGGACAGAACGGGACCTGCTACTGGAACCCCATGAAGGCTGGCCTGGGAATCCCCCTTGCATGGCATCAGGGCCAGGGACCGTAAAGGGGTTGTCCTCCCACTCTCCAGCTGTACTGCTGACCTCCAAGCCTCTGATGTTGCGCCTCCCCACTGAGCCTGTGTGTGATGGTGTCAATAAGCTGGTGGGCAAAGCTCCTTGTGTGCCTGTGCAGGGAGGCCCATAGAAACTGGAACAAAGCCTCATCAGGGCCAAAGTGCAGGCTGGATGGGACAGGGCACTGCACTGTTGCTCTTTCCTACCATCCTCAAAGAGCTGCCCAAGCTCCTGATGCAACAATGACAGCGAGCAGTGGAACACAGCAAGGTAGAGGAGGAATGCTGAGGTAGCGTGGGAGACACTTACTGACACCAGGGCAGTGGCCACATGGCTGACAGCAGGACTATTGCAGTGCAGTGGGGGCTGTGGGCAGCAGGAGCTCCTACTCTCAGGTGGAACATGTCTGATAGTGCTGGAGGGCAGTGGAGACTGGGGGGCAAATAAGTGCTAAGGTGATCATGCATTAAACTTTCTGAGTTCTATATATGATCACAGCAACCTGCAGGGGAGATCACTTGAGCAGAATCCATAGCAGGGATGCCTGTTCCTTCAGCAAATTATGCTGCACCTGTACCAAAACTTCTCCTTTTTCTCCTTCTCTATTGCCCTCACATCTCCACAGTAAAACAACATGGGCCATAGTTTTGGTTTAGATTTGGGTCTTTCTTAAATTCCTTTAAAAATGAAAGCTTTCACCAGTGAGTACAACTTCACATGTATTGCAGTTCTGGTTGCTGTACTCACCTTCAGCCACTGGCGGTGGCTGTCCTCCCACTGATGGCCAGAGTGAAGCTACTGAGAGTAGCTGGGTACCCAGGACCTCCTCCTCTAAGATGGAACATGTCCCATGGTGCCCCTTGGGGTGGAATGACATGCTCCTCAAAGTTGTCATCCCCCCACACTGAGTATAGGATGGAGGTCATCCTCCTCCTGCAGACGGGGTCCTCAGGCTTGCTCCCAGTCCACTGCAGGAGGCACATTCAGCAGAAGCAGAGCAGCCACGGCAGTGCATAGCTGGTCTCCTCCCAGCTGTCCAGGCAGACGGGACAGCAGTTGTCCAGCTCCTGTTCAGCTCCTTGGCCATGCTTGCTGTGCGCTGTGGGGTCTGGAGACAGCTGGGGATGACAAACCACTTCACTGCCTCTCAGTGACACTGCAGCAGCAAATGTTGCGCTAGAAAAGTGAGGCCACAATTGTTGTCTGGCCCTAGGAGTAATACCCATGTCCCTCGGGAAGGAAACCTTCTTTGTTCTCCAGATGGAGTTTTCTCCTCCCAGATCATTTCTGCTGCTGACTCCTGAGTGCTCCAGCTGCCTCAACAGAAAGCTCTATTTTACGTATGACTCACAGGGGCACAGGCTGAAGGTCACTGATCTCACAAAGATGGCAAATCCACCTATATTATGGCTCTCTGCAAGTAGGAGACTTGGTGCTGCAATATCCCACTTTGAGCCTTCAAATGCAGACAGGCAGAATCCCAGGGCTTTGCAGTCTCACTCCTTTTCTGCACTCCTCAACTCTTAATCACATTTCAAAATTCGGCTATGAGTGAATTCTTTGAAATGCCTGGTTGCTCTGTTCCACAAACAGCCATTTAACCATGTCATCTGGCAAAAATGAGCATGTATGACAACCAAATACACACTGTGGTGTCTAGAAAACATAACTTATTGCAGTACTGAGCTGCAGCCAGGTTCTTTGTTGGAATCGCTGCCCATACAGGCTTCATCATCAGTGCAGGGACCTGAAGGTGGGTTTCTCTCACAGGCTGTTGTTATGAAAGGATACAGCAAGAACAAGATTGTTGTGCAAGTCTACTATGCTCTTCCTCTCCCATGTCCACCTGAACTGCGCTGCCACTGAAAAAAGCTTTCCCAGAGAAGATAAAACCAGGCCCTTCTGGCTGAGATTATATAGTAAGGATGCACACCTGCCCCTCAGCTCTGGATGTTTTCATTGGTCTGTCCCTGTCTCCTACAGAAGCAGATGACAGGAATATAGAAAACAGGATTTTTCACCAAACAGCTGGAAGGCAGACATTTTCTCTCACTGCCATTTCCTTGTGAATGGGGATGGACTGCTCACTGGGACTTATGGACAATGTCCATGTCAAAGCTCTACCTAGAGGTTCAGACTGTGTTCTGACCTTGTGAAATTACGCGATTTGTTCCTCTTCTTCTTGTGGTAATGTCTCTTCTGGGTCACTTTGCTACAACTCAGTGAGTTTGAAGCTGGGCATCTTTCCTCTATGGACGAATTTGTCTGCAGGTGAGACAGCTCTTCTACCAGCTTTTTCACCATGCTTGAGTTTTCCCAGTCAGCCCTTCAAGGACTGACTTGACTTGCCAGCAAACCTCAGCACCTCATGCTGTGAGCCAACAAAGATAAGGGACAATTGGCCACTCACATTTTAACAGCTGAGCAAGAAAAAAGGAGGACGAAGAAAGCCCTTATAATGCAGGAAGTGAGGGAAAGTGCTTTACCCCAGGAATGATTTGGATGAGTTATAAGTGTTTTGGGGAAGTCTGGCAAAGGTGTCAAGTGCTGGAGTGGATATAGTGCATTGTTCAGAAGTTATGTCACCAGGGCTTCACCATGCATGTCAAGCTGCAGAGGCCACTCACTGGGTTCAGCTCCTCTCCAAGGAAGGTATATGACACCAGGCCATACATGCAGATGCCAAGTGATCTTGCTGGTGAGGCTGGGTACGCTGGAGGATAGGAAAGTATTGCAGGATGTGAATACTTGGCTGGTTAAGCAGGAAGCTGGTTTCAGGCGATCTCAGTTCTGCTGGGTGCTGGTATAAGGAAGCCAAGGAAGTGAGCTATGGAAGGGTCCACTGCTGGTGCAAAAGGAGGCAGATGGTGGCAGGATGGTCTGCATGAACTAGGGATCTCATGGCTCCCCACTCCTGCAGGCAACAGATGCCTTGTGGGTGGCCACACTGAGGTGACAGTGGAGCTGCCACCTGAGCTCTGCATGCTCCAACAGCACATGGAACAGAGCTGCACAACAAAAGCAAGGTGCAAGGAACTCCAGTGTAGCAATGTATTTGGACAGCTTGGGCCATGATGTGCTCCAGCCAAACCATATTTAGAGTTTATTATCAGACCCTCTGGAATTTCTCAAGGCTGCTGAGACATAAGCTATTCTAAAAATAAGAAAGAAGAGGCTGAAAAACAAGAAAACAGGGCCACAGGAGCCAGATAACAGAGGGCAGTTCAACACCTGAACTGTAACCAGTCCTGTGCACTGAGGGGTGCATGCAGAGCGCGTGGGCAGGACAGCGGCACCAGTGAAAAGATGCGTGGTCATGTGAATGGTGGTTTTAGAATGTATAAATAAATGTGTAATGTAAACAATAAAGGGCTTCTGTGAAATCATATTGATTTGTTGGCCAGAGGTCCTGAGCTTCTGCACTCCAGCCCTGTCAGGCGTGCAGTAGCCCCTCATGCCCAAGGGCTCAGGCTCTGATTCTTCAGCCCCTTCCCTGTCCTTTCCCCACATAAGAGGAAGAGAAGTATGGAAGTGTAGGGCACCATGCCAGAGCTCAGCTGGAAGGGTGATTTCCTCTCCTCGGGTGCTGTAGTCTGCACCACTGGATATGGTGGATGCCCAGCTGGTGAGGGAGCAATGCCAGCCCCTGGCCCTGCTGACAGGGACTCAGCCAAGATGGGGTCTGCGCCCATGTGCAGTGCTCCTAGAGACAGCCTGAATCTTTGAGACCAGTGAATCTTGTTATCTGTCCTATTTCCCATTCAAAGGGAAAGAAATGTTTCTTTCTTCAAAGCAGTGTCCACCTCCCTCTTTCCCGTAGTGCTTCCTTCCTGCTCTCCATCCCTTTTTTTCCGTGTTTCTGCCCCACTTCATGGTTTTTCCACTCTGCCCCTCTGTTCCCCAGTTTCTCTTTCTCCTACTGCCACGCCCTCAGGCTTGTTTCTGTATCATTTTCGTGTATTTTCTTTCATTTCCCTCTTTATCCCTGTCTCCTTTTTGCTCTCTCCACCTTCTTCTCCTCCTCCTCCCTTCCTTGTCCGTATGTCATTCTCTCTATCCCCACTTCTTGTCTCACCATCCCTTTTCCTCTCCCGGTCCCTCCCTTCCACTCTCGGACAGAGCCCCACTCCTTGCTCCCTACCCTTCTCCCTCTCGTCCAGGGGCAGAGTCCCTCTGCCTTCCCTGCCTCTCTCCGTGCGGGTGCACGCGCGCTGTCCCCTCGGAGCCCGCGGAGCTGCAGGCTGCGGAGCCGGGGCCCCACGGCCGCTCCCGGCCCTGTGTGCTGCCCGCTGCGGCCTCCCCACGCCGTTCC